TATACTATACTATACTATACTATACTTCTGTGAAGTGGGTCTATTGTCCTCAATCCACATTTACAGTTACAGGCTGAGTCATTTCTACATCCTCCTCTCCATCTATGAGCTCCGGTTTCATTTAAAAGGACTGAACGTCAGATATTATCCAAAATTTCAGTTCAAGCTGGTTTCAGCTTGCACCGGAGCATGCTTTGCAGCATAAATAACATAGTGTCTTCTATGTGACTATATTTTTTTAAATGTATAAAAACTAAACAGCCTACAGTGTTTTTAAATTCTCATTTTTATAGTTGAAGCCAGTGTTTATCAAGTAATGTCTACTGTTACAGCTAGTCAGAGTTCCCTTTAAAGCAGTTAATGTGATGTAAATGTAGCAGCACTGGTGAGAATATTGGCTAAATTGTGATTCCTGATGTTTGTTTTCCAGGTTCTATGGAGCGATGTTAATAGTAGTGTGTCTGCTTTATGTGGTCCCTGTGGGCTGGGTGCTCGCTGGACTCAACACCATCGTCTTCCTGTGGAACAGAGACTTCTACAGAGGTCAGCTCCTTCAAACTAAGTAAATGAATAAACTCATTCATAGCTTTTTGACTTTACGTATGGGTTTGCTTTGCTGTTCCAGTTTTGTTGGACCAAAGGAAGATGTTTCACTTTGGTCAAACACAGTCCTCAGAGGGAGGCTGCAAAGAACAGGAACAGGGCAACTTGCTGGACAGGACCCCTACACCCACTAGCTTGGAGGTAAGATAAACACTATGGCATAAAAAATGTTGAGCGTTAAAATTTTTGAAACTCACATTATATTTAAACCCACTCTCAGCTGTAAGCTTCTAATCCTTTACATCCCAACACTCTAGTATTTAACACTGTTGAAATCCATGGATGGACATTTTGCTTCCACTTCCTCTTTTAGGAGTTTATTTTCATCATAGGGATGAACAGAGTAGTCTGACTTCATGTTGGTGTTTCTACAAGGCCAAATAAACAGAAAGCTTCCCCTAATGCCTGGTGCACACGGCAAGATACAGCGGGTAAAATAAGTATTGAACACGTCACCATTTTTCTCGGTAAATATATTACTAGAGGTGCTAATGACATGAAATTTTCACCAGATNCAGCTTTGCTCTGTAACATTAATGAATGCAGTGATTCTTTGTGAAAAATGATAAAATGTCTTCTTTTATGTTGGTTGTTGGCAAAGTTCTACACTTTCATWTTATTGTTTCCGAACACCATTGCTAAGATTTTAACACTTTGTTAGTATATCACTTGGTTGCTACTAAGTTTACATTTATGACCCATCACATCAAAACAAAAATGGTCATAATTGACAAGTAACAACATCACAGATTCCTGGCATTTTTAGCTACATTTTGATGTGTAAKTCATCCTGAAATCTTGAGCGGTTTCTAGAGATGAGGCTTGATTTATCTTTTCTATTGGGAAGACTCCTCAAAAAATTGGTCTGAATTGTGTTTTTACTGTTTTCTTATGACGAATTCTTCACGTCATTTGAAAGAGGAAACTCAAATTATAATTGTATATCAGGATTTCCCAGCTGGTATTAAAATAGCTTTGCWATTTCACAGGGAAAGTAGTGAAAATGTATGGCTTTTTTGCTTAAAATCATTGCTAGTTGTTGACACAGCTCAGAAAAGGGTTTTAAATCATTCTTTAAGGTTGTCCTGATGCATCTCAGTAATCCAGGTAGAAAAAATCAAAAAGAAAAAATAAGTAGGTCCTATGGGTTCTTCTTTAGAGAAACGTTTTGTCTCTCCTCCAAGACACTTCTTCAGTCTGATGAGTTTCAGGTGAACTCAGCCTTATAAGCACTGCCTCCATATGGTGGACAAACAGGTTAGTTACATGCAAAAGAGGGCCATCGACTAACAATAGGCTTGAATAGCTCTATTGCTCATAGAGGGTCATGTGTCCCATCACCTGACTTATTGGTTTGGATGCTTTGGCTGTGGTTATTTGGTGTTTTGTTATGTGTATGTAGTGAGTGCAAGCGGGGCTCAATGTCCCCTTGTTTTTGATTTTTTTCCCCTCTTTGTGTTGATTATCGTTTGGGCCCTGATTCACACCTTTTGCTCACAGGGGACTTATTGCAAGTATGACTCAGCCTGCATGTGACTAACCTGTTTGTCCATGTGTAGGCAGGCTGAGTTTACCTCATCAGACTGAAGAAGTCTCCTGGAGGAGAGACGAAATGTTTCACTAAAGAAGAACCCATCCAGAGAACCTACTTATTTTTTTCTTTTTGATTCTTTAAGATTATATTTCACACATTTCAAGGGCCTCTTAAACAGTGTATTTTAAGGTATTGGGGTGGCTGTGGCAGAGTGGTTAGGGGAATTGTCCTGTAACCAGTTGGGTTGCCAGTTTAATRCCCCYTTCCATCCYTCTCAGTCACTTGCAAAGCATCTTTGAGTGTCTAGAAAATACCATATTTTGACAAAATCCAATTGTAACTTTATCCTCGGATCACATTTTTGAGGGACTCTCAAAGCTTTAAAAATATTTGACTATGTTCAAATTAATGTTAAAGACTCATGGTGAGCATCTGAAACTTTTCTGTTTTATCGCTGATGTCTTGAACTCTGACAGAAAAACTATAGTTTGCAAATGTCCAGGTCTAAACTCCTTGCTAATGTTAAATAGTTATTGTTTCTTTTTAAATGTCTTAATCTTCATCTCTATAGTGTACGCCAATAGATTAAATCATAAATGTGAAAACAGCTACAAAGATGGTTGCAAAGGTGCAATGTGGGCAAATGTGGACTAAAAAATGTTTTTTTAAGATGCAGTTTTGTAAGCTATTCACTCAAAAATTTGTTGCAACATGTTGTTCAAATACGTCCTTCATCTCAGAGGGATTTGAATAGTGAATGTTTTTTTTTTTATTTTATTTTAAGAGGAGTATTTTCAATAATGCAAGTAAACCTTAATAG